CGTCTGCTCCATCAACTCCAGCAGGATCGTTCGAGAGGCCGCGTCGCACTCATCTAACCCATCGATGACGCAGAAGATTTGACGGTCAGATCTGAAAGCAACCTCGACCAGTAAGTTCCACAGTGCTTGAGGTTTCTCAAAGACTCGAGAGCCGCGATGCGCATGTCTCCTGCGGATTCTGTCGCTGAGGAAGTGGGGATGGTTCTGAAAGAGCTGAGTGAGGAGACCTCGTAGAATACCCTGGGCCGTGTTCCTCTGCGAATCATTCGGGTCGCAGAAGAAGTACGCACAGGTTTTTGTGGGATCAGTCGCGAAGTTACTTGTGAGCCTTTCGGCGAGAAAGACACCCAATGTCGACTTTCCTCTTCCCTGAGTCCCAGAAAGCCATAAAACTTGCTGGTTTTCTGACTCTGGTTGAAGCCAGCTCTTAACTTCTGGCACATTCATAATCCATTCACAGGTCTTGGGCGCCCTTGGACCCTGCTGTGTTCTGAGCGCATCCTTTGCATATGAGGGATCCAACCAGATGAGATCGTTGTAGAAAGCTTCAATCTGCTTTTCCTTGTCCGCATCATCTATCAAGTCAGTATATTTAGACTCTTGTCAAGAGATGTGGCGTCTTACTTGGAACGTGACGCGTTTCATAGCGCATATGAGCTACAGTGCTTGTGCTCGGCCACGGATAGTGTCCTAAGAAGCTATCCGGCGATAGAGGTCCTTCATCAGAGGCAGAGAACCGCAACCTCGAAGATCGCGGGGAGTCGTCTTTCGCTCTTGAGAAGCCCATTGTTCGTTCGCTCTACTTTAATGTGATATTGCGAAGATCAAGTTGCAAACGCGGTTCTTAGCCTGACTTCCATGCAATGCAATAGTCGGTGTATCAATCCCAACGGCGGCTTCAATGTCCTGGCGTGATGCATGCGTCGACAGAGGAGGGGTGGTACCTTTTACCGTCTGTCATTAGTGCAAGCGAAGTGAAAGTCTCATGACAAGAAGATGAGAGCAAAGATACGGTAAAGGAGGAATATCTATCGTATTCGAGATCGTCTGGAATACTGTGGCAATATCTCCTTTAGGGGGAATTTGATTAAGACAAAGAAAAAAGGTTGACATTGATTAATTAGGGGAGCTAAACTAAATTAACAATAAACCGTTCATATCGGTCGGGGGCTTCCCCTCGTTGAGGAATTTCTAAAGGGGAAAAATAGGAAGGCTGGTGTATACGCCAGCGCCAAGATGGTCCAGGCCCAATGTCATTTTTTCAGGGTTGTAGACTTGACCCATGCAGAGGCGACCAAGAATCTACAATGACGTTAACTTAAGGTTTATAGAAAAAGGAAAACCTCAATGAATATTCTGTGACAGTACTCCGTATTTACGCATAATATTCACATCATATTGTCAGTGTTTTATCACCTCTCCCTCAGTTCCCATCTACTTTAGTCATGACCCCAGCCTATTAATTTCACATCGAGATTATGCATATCATCCTCGGGCTGTCCAAGCTTCTGCAAACATTTTATCCCAGCCAATCAAGGTAATGAAGCCGCGTGAAAGAGAGGCCTCGATGTATCGGCGCTGTTGTGTTAATGGCCACTCACTTGTCGCAATTCCAACCGTTGTCAGAAATTAAATCGCCAATTAGTTATCTGCTTCTACGTACTGAACTAGGAATTGAAGGGGGTTAAACGTGTTGGATGTTCTGATAGTTACTCTGTGTAGTAGGTACCTAGCAGGTCCGTGCAATCTCTACGATAATTCTTTCACATTGATATTTATATGAAATGTTGAGTGGAATGATTGCTTCAAATACAAACTCCTCATACTTTACTTTCGATCTAATCAAATGTTGTATGACCTAGCGAGCCTTCAGTCTAAGCTCCTGTTGGTCTCCAAGTCACTGCGTTGGATGGTATAGGATGTGAGCTTCTGAGACTTTCAACGTCGTCAATGCAGGTAGTTTTGAGATACCAGTGTGGTTATATACCTCCGAATTAGACTCGGGCTGTAGGCTTTTTACCCTCGATTAGAACCTCTAATATTCAAGGTGCTAGAATCTTGTTGCAAACACTCCAAAGCGGCAGCACAAATGACTCCAAGCCAGCTCTGTACAGAGTTCACTGCCAAGATTACTGAACCCTTTGCAAGTGGTAACGCTGACTTTGCGCCGATTCGTTTCGCGAACTTGGATACAAAATACTTACGGAGTACAGTGTAGCCCCCCGGGGAGGGTGACCTTAAGCCATAGATTGTGACTAGCTAATACTACATCTAAAGTTATATGACGACATTCCTACTCGAAGTGACTGCTTCGTACACTCTATCTCTCAATGCGTGATCTCATGGTCCGCAATATGTTATCGGCGTCAGTCATTGACACACTTCTGATTACGTTGTACTCTAAGGTAGGGGAGAAAAGAAAACTCGGGGCCTTGATCCAAAATGGCAAAAAGGCTGAGGTAACTCAACATGAGTCTAGTACAAATCCAGGATAAGCTTAGGATCCCTCAAGTTTATCTTGACACACTAGATCAAGGTCTGATGTTTTCCTGCTCCCCCGAGGGCACTCCAATCATTTCACTTACAACCTGCAGGGCACGAGACAAGAGGAAACCACACATTCAAGTTGAGACGATCTCAACTGCCAGCGATTGCATGGCCGACTATGCTACCATGCTGTGAGTTCAACCATAAAGATTACATAACTCATGAGAGCTGGTAATAAGTGCCACTCCGAGAGCATATGTATCCCGCACATCTTAAGTCCGAGGGCTTACGTGTTGGGGAGACGAATCCCAGCCCTCAAACCTTTCTGATACATTCTGAATACGAAGTCTCTTAGCTTGTGAAGAGAAATTATTCGGTCTGCTTGATTAAGAGAAGGCTAGAGGATCATCACATGTGTGATGTTATAGATCTCGGAACGGTCGGACGTGGTTGGCTCCGGGACACTCGGGGGTGATGCAACTGCAACACTTTGACCTGGTTATATGACGATAGAAACGAGTGCAGTCAACCGTTGTTAGAAATAACTCATAGTGCTGGAGTAAAAATACTCCGCCGCACCTTTCGCCTATATGCAGGTGGCCTGATTTAAGGATGGCAACTAGTAAATTCTCTTCTTCACTCTGACACTCGATAACCAGACCCACAAGCATAACTATATCAAGGTAGAAGTCTACTCAAGTCTTTGACTCTGTCTCTGTTTCGTAGTTTTGTAACATATCTTTCTGGTTTGATGAAACCATCGCAGTTCGTAGTTGTCTCAGTTGCTATCAACGTGTTGTCCTTCTCTAGAACTTTTGACCAACAGCACCTCAAAATCACCGTGCTTTGACTTTCTGGCCCCTGCGTATGCATATGCTCACCTAACATAGGTCTCCAACTGGACCACTCTCAGGCCATCTAAAGTGAAATGTGGATTTGAGGTGTTGAGTGTCGGCCTGCTCAAAGAACTGTTTGTCGTTGGCTCAAATCTATCTTGTTAATGTCCAATAAATAGTCTTCCGACTTCACAGAACTGTGCGTACCTATAAAACTTCTCGTAGACACCAACCTGTCAAATACTTACTTAAAATCGGTTACGTTCACAGTTCAGTTCACTACATATGGCATGCTATTCCTTGTTTCTATTAGGTACAGAGAATGCCGACTTCCGGCGTGCACAGGTGCCAGCACAGCATCTGAACTCCGGAGCTAGGGAAAATCATTACAAGCTTAACCATGCTCCGCCAATCACAGCTTGAGCTAGAGACAAATGAGTAACCTGGGCGCTCGGTACAGGTACCAACACCAGACAACCCCTGCTGATTCTTCACGACTTCAACCAACAGACCTTTAACCAACACATTTGCATGGGTATGGAGTCAGCTTTTGGCAAAGAGGTATCACCCCTATGCATCCGAGTACTTTGGGTTCTTTCATTGTGATCAAGATGATGTCCAAAAAGCTTCATGGACTTGAAGAGTCTTGTCTGAGTTCCCAATACGTTGACTTGGCAAATCTTACGACGCAGCCTCATTATTTCCTTAGAGTGAGTATGCTTAAGCTTATTCTTAGCACGAAAACATTATCTCGAACATACATACGTCGTGCGTGGTGTGAACATGGCCCACTACCTAATCATATCCGCTCTGCTACGCTCGTTTCTTGGCCAAGACCTGTTGTGTCAATGCCCAGGGAAGCATGCTCCTCGTATTCATTGACGAAGCTAGGACGCTTGAACTGACATGAAAGTTCGGTCAGCGATAAATGTCTCGTGAAGACACAGGATCAGGGGCTAAATGGTAATCTGTGTAGTATAAATAGAGGTCCTCTCGCTCTACTAGTTGGCCACATCACTCATCCATCTTCATTCTCGCTTCAAACTCCCCAACTCAACTCCCCATCCCAGACTCTTCACTTCCAACAACGAATATGAAGTTCACCGCTCTTGCCACCGCCATCTTTGCCCTCGGCTTCGGTGCCGAGATGGCTACCGCTGCTGAGTGTTGCCAAATGAAGGTCTGCGATAAGATGAACCTTGGGGGCAACTGCAAGCACGGTTGCTATCCCATCAGGAAGATGGCCAAACTCAACTTGAGTGGACTCACGTCTTCAGTCTCCTCAGCCAAGACTGAGAACAGATGCTTCTGCACCATTGGAAAGGAGGTGTATGTATCACGCAACAGTAAACACCCTTCACCTGGTAGCTAACACTTCGAGTAGTGAATCCTGCATGAAAGTTACCAGCTACGCCAAGGGTACAAATGTCCCTAACCATTGTCTTACCGGCGCCAAGTATGCTTACTGTCAATTCAACTAAACTCAAACCGCCTGGCACAGCTGAGTTCCCGACGCCATGAAGGAAGATATTCGTTCCTTGGATGGAATACTGTGATGCATGTCGCGTAGTAAAGGAGTTCTGGGATTAGTTTCATGCAGTCAACTATAAAGAATGGAATGCAACAACTTGGTATAAGCTTGGATTAAAGAAATAGACCTTATGACTCACCCCTTTCTTATCCATCTAGTTTGTATGCGTGTACTGAACTGAATCTCAACCGATATGCCATTTCGACTCCAACAGGGATAAACAGTATGATAGACACAATCTGTCCAAATCCCCAGTAATTCCCATCGTATTTTTCACCCATGTTCTCCGACATTTGCTCCTGGACGTTTCTAAGTGTGAAGATCACCACCAGCAGTGGTATGGTCAGTCCAACCAACACAAGAAGAGGAAGGACGGCAGCAAGTGGCCTGTCACTGAACCACTTGTTGACACTCTCACGCCAAGAGACCTTGTCTTCTGCTCCTTTGGTAACCTTTGCCTTCTCGTCATGGTCGTAGCATGTGCCAGGTAGACCAGCAAGGAGCCAGAATGTGAAGATGTATGTAATCAGGGAGGCAGTCAATTCTAAGCCATTTAGAGATTTGAAAGTTGTCGATCGCCCAATATTTCTGTACTCTGCGGGAAAGCACATATCCTCAACGACACTCCAGTCTGTAGGCGATACCTCTGAGCCCTTACCCTCACCGATGGGGCTTATGTCAAAGGCATGAATGCACCTCGATAAGAAGGGATAGAATGACAGTGCAACAGTTACACTGAGGAGAAGTAGTCTGGCGTTGTGTTTAATACTGGCTCTCGCGCTGCTTTTCGCTGCTGGCTCCAACAGAGCAACCGGGTACAGAAGCGGCATCATGCTAACGACGGCGACAGATTGGGATATTCGAGCTTCTATAGCGCCCAAGTCCGCAGTGCTGATACCATAGTCTTTGCGAGCAAGTACAGCGATCGTAGCCAGCTGTAGCGCCAGTGCAAAATATGCAGCACAGTCGACAAATGCTTCAAGGCCGGCTTTTGCAACTTCACGCCCATGGCTATTCTTGCCACTTCGCTTGGACATTATGACTGCAAGAGATAGTAGTATGCTCAGTATGATCTCGAGAACATAACCAACAGCAACCTGTTGCGGAATGTCAGTTACAATACATCATGTATGGAGGATCATTGAGACAGACCCCAATTCCAGATATGTCAGGATTTCCTGTGCCATAGATAGCGTTACATATCTCGCTCTTACAATACTCTAGTAAGCTCTTATTAAACTGTGTTTTAGAGTCGAGATCCTGAATGTATTCGCTGAAATCGTTTAGTTTTGTCCATTGCGAGCAATCGGTGCTGAGACTGGACATTTTGACTGAGGCTCGCTGATGATTACGATGAACACGCCGCTGGGATGTTCAATCTCGAAATGCTGAGCAATGTCGCTCACTGACTTCAGCCCGATTTTGTCTCAAATCTTATCAAGACTCGCCCCCCAATAATACTCAGCTGCGGCTGAAGGCGGCGTGTTCTGGGCGCAGCCAAGGTCCAATAGCAACAAATGAAAGGCTCATCAGCGCAGGTAGTCTCGATAGTTCATGCCACTGGCTTGAAATGGACAGACCGAATGCCGAGCCTCGTTGTACAGTGTCGGGTCTCATATAAGGCTCAAGCCTCGAGACATTCTTACCCATCAACAGAGCCGGAAACCGTACCAAGTGTACAGAAGCTCATTCTAATGATACTAGTGCCCTGAGTATGTCGAGATCCATTGTTCTATTCACCGTTGGCTTCAGTCTTGCTGCACTGGTCACTTCACAGATTAGCAGTATTGTGTCTTCAGAAACTTGCGGGTACATCGATGGAGGTAGGGTTGTCATCACGGCGTGCAAGCCATCAACTAATGGGAGACCTTGTCCAGATTTCGATCGTGCAATCGAATGCACGTCTAGATCATGCGGATTCTTGTTCATATGGGGCCACGACAATGCCTATGCTGGATGCTGCGGTTATGAGAGATGTGCAATCGCCACGACATGTATTGAGTCAGGCACAGCACTAAACAGTAATACCATTCAATGGTAGGCTCACTGATGTTGGATTCAGAAGGCTATATTAAAGCAGATACAGCACCGATGGTTCGCTTTCTGCATGTGCAACCTACACATGGCCACAACTCTCAGCAGAAGCATATTTCTGTGCCACGGCAAGGACGACAGTGACAGTCGTTACAGAGACTAGAGACGCAACTTCTAGCAATCCGTTAACCTTCACTGCGGAACCAACAATTGAGCCCTCAAGAACAGACGGAGGAGGTCCTCAACCAACGGACGCCGATAAACCAAACCTCGGGACCGAGTCTGGTCAGTGCATCACTTGATAGAGACTCTCTCGGTATTCTTGTTAACCACAAAGCAGACTTGAGCTCGCGACAAAGGATAGGCGCCGGGGTGGGCTCGGGGCTTGCTGGTGGGCTGATGTTGATATTTTTTGCGTGAGTGTTTAAGCCATTGTTTCCTATGACTGACCGGAAACACGCACGAGTCTGACGCTTGTCTAGAATCTTTGGGTGCTGCAGACAACGCAAAAGGAAGAGTCTGAGGCCACAGGCCGATTCGAAACCCATGCTACAGAAAGATGCTCAAGCGGAAGTCAGCTCAGCTCCCTTGAAACAAGGACCGGTTGGCAATGGCCTCCTTATTGAGAGGGAAGCTGAAATGACATAGCGTTATGCCAGAATGAGCATCGGGTTGGTTGATATACACAGGAGCAGAGGTAAGCATGAGACTAAATGAAGTGAATATGAAGTGAATATGACGATTAGGGAGAATTGGCTGTAGAAAATTGAAATCCACAGAATCGATAGTCTTGTACGGAGTATGTATCATCTCGATATCACGAAATCGTGCCAAGACTCCACAGGGCAATGAGACACAGTGTCTCTGACACTTGTCACCGACTGGTATGACGGAGCTCGTGTTTCCACCGCCACCAGACAAATAATGCAGGGCAGGGAGATAGAACGGGCTGAGGGTGTCCTTGTATTGCGTTGCATTGCTGGCAAAGCCCAGAGATATCCCGTCTTCCCAAGAACAAACCATGATGCTACGAGAGGCTGGAAATGGATGGACTTAGAAGAATATTTCTGATTCTTGGTCATGGTGGCGGCGCAGTTGTCAACTCAATCTCCATTATCACAATCGCGTGCAGGCAGAGACACGAAATTGGAAAGTCGATTGAGGGAGGTGAAAGCGGCCACCAATAGCTGATGAGTTTTTAAGATTGAATCCTCCAAAAATAGCCCCCCAAGACTTATCAGACAATCTCCCATTCTCCAGGCTGGATATAAGACTGGGGATCAACGGGCCGCATACCAGCGAACGGTGACAAATACGCAGCTTGATTATTGATACATAGACTTATGCAGGAAAAGGGGGGGTTATTGTGAGGTTATATCTTCCATGTCGTGTAATAATGCAAGCCGCATGTAAAGATGCATATATGGGTATGCTGGTGGCGGAAAGGGACAATTTGCGTTGGCCTCACTAACCCTAGCGCAGGTCGTTTCCGTATCAGATACTTCGTAGTTCTCAAACATATATCTATCGATTTATACAGATACTCCGAAGTCATATGTCCGCGTTTGTGCCTATGTTCTCTATTCGAAACTAGCAGACGAAAAATCGGCGGCAATGGATGTGACTTTGTATGTCTTCTCTTCCAAATAAAAGACCAGAAAACATCCGACGAGGCACAAAAACGGTCTTGGCGGATGGTTCGGAACGAAAGCCATGTTGAGCCCAGTACCTAGTTAGTTAACGCCTCAATGTCTAAAGAGACTGCAGCCCAATCACTTGAGATTCAGCATTCCCATATAAAGAGGCCATAACGTTTGTGACCAGGACATAAGCTTCACTGTGTCAAATGGTCAATCTAGTCGTCAATGCGACTGCATTTCGTTTTGCTCGAGACAGGACGGACTTATTACGCTCAATGTCGCCTGCAAAAGCCGACAGTCCCGACCGGCTGGAACAATCTTATATTCCGGCTCGGAATATTGAGCGTGGAGCATCAAACCAGAACACCAAGCGTTGAAGTTGCATCGTCAAGGATGCCATGCCAGCGATTACCCAAGATGATTATCCACGGGTCCCTTGATTTAGAACAATCTCCACTGGGTTTTAGCATCGAGTATCCTCGATGCAACGGACGGTCGACACATCTCTTAGCCGCCATGGAGATGGATGACGGGTTAGGGACAAGCCTGTTCATCAGAGATGCATGCCGAGATCAGAGAGGGGCTTGAACGCCTCTTGCTGGCAAAGCCAGAATCTGCCTTGCCAGAAGAGCCCTGAAGCCTGTTTGGAGCTACGTATGATACAGTAAGTTAGGGGCTGCTTGGCGAATCGACCCGCTGCCATGTTCCATGCTTTATTAATCGCGTTAATTGTTGTGCTTTCTTTTCATAGCCGGAGCAGAGTCGAATGCCGCCATTCTTGCGACTTGGCTATTCCATTCGCTGCCTCGATGAGTTTCAGACTTTCATCGTCGATCTCGTGCATTGGTGTTCTAGGACGTATCAATCTCGGAACTCTAGGAGCAAATCGTGTTGCGAATTGCTTATTGCTTCGCGGCCCTTTTATGAAGGAGGTTGATATGACCCACAGGTGACATTTGGCCAAGGGCAGACCGGATGGAAGAGAGAGGCTTTGATATGAACATCGACAAAAGGGGCAAGTCCATAACCGTAGTATGTGATGTAGGAACCAACCCAGAAATGCGAGGATAACCTTATCGGAAGGCTGCACAAAACAGGAATTGTGCATTTTTCTAAGTTGGCATAATCCAAGCTTGCATGGTCCGTGGGCCGAACAAACAACTCAAAATCGGTGGAGTTGTGATCGATTCAGCTGAAAGTGTCTTTTTGAACAAGTTCGATTTACATTCGAGACTCCGAGGTTGCAAATTTTCTCTTCTGTGGCAGCGTCTGGTTCATTCTTTCCACACAATAGTACCTATTCTTGGTTTCGGCTTACAGAAGCTAGTCAACAAATCTTCGGTTTCGCTTCGACGGCTTGGCTATATCGAGTGGTAGCAGACGCCGTCTCCATTTGCTGTTTCAATCGGTAGCCGCTGATTTCTCCTGTCGCAATGCTTGCAGTGAGAATCATATTCGTTCCGTTTCTCAATAGTTCAAAATACCGCAACGAATATACTTAGATGTGACGGCTTAGATTCATCCTTGTAGGTATTCCATTAGACTGTGCAGGACCAGATACCGAGACACTGGTTATTGTTGGTTGGGCGAGGCAAGTCACGATCGTATTAATGCAGGTCCAATGACACAAGTCCGCTAGTCGAAAGAAGATAGTCGCTGTATGCGATATCCTTTGACTCAAGTCAAGCATATCAACTGCCTTGAAGCCATCATGCCTTGCTCTCGACTCCGACTGTTATGGTGGGGACTTTGATGCACCGAAATGACCGCTGACTTATCTGTGATCTGTTATTTTGAGAGAAGCTATTCCCTGATTTGGAGCTCCCATCACTCGATCGCACCGTAGTATACGGAGTAGGTCTATTAAGCGCCTTCCAGGAATAACTTGCAGGTCGTATTCTGACTGGACCGTCAAAGTTCAGCAACAAGCCTCACGAGACACGTGGACCGATACGGTGGTGACCACAGGTAATTAGCTGACGCGCACCTCCTGTGGACAGTGAGTTAACCCACTCAGGAAGCGCACAATACTTGGACAGATTTTGCACAAAATGTGATTAGACTTATGAAAGCTTCCAGACCAAATACCAAGCTGCGTGTTGCCGCGGGGGTGCATTGACATGCAAATGAATGTTGGAAGCCCCCCACTTAGAGGTGGATTGTTGTCAGCTTCGATCAACTCAATCGCTAGAAGCCTGTCTAGCATCGATGAGCGTAGTCTATTTCTTGGCAGGACGGGTAGAATGAACAAGTCCCTCATAGTGTTGTTCATGGGCTTCGAGATGGCGTCCTCAACAAACGGTTGGCGTTACCATTTCAAAGGAAAATGTGTGAGTAATAAGTGCCGTGGTTAAAATGGGTAAATTCTTGAACAGCCATGGTGCCTCAAAAGCAGGCCGAGCATGGCCAAGATCTGCGGTATAAAGTCCATTTTAGGAAGATGGAGGGTGAGATACGTACTGGACTATGCCGTTCCTGAATATCATCCACAAATTGCGTGAACCATACGGGAGTAGGGTTTGCACCTGTTTGAAAAGCCGATAATGCAAATCAAACGCCAAAAGTTCGCGGCCATGGATGTTTAAGCAGTCGATGTTCACTGACGGTGCGGTCCAGAATCGAGAGGGATAGGTCCCTCATGGATTCGGAGCCGGTGTCAAGCTCTCTTTTAGAAATAAAATAGAAATTATCATAAAACGCGTGTTCCAATGGTGGTAGCACATTCCATATCTCAGGTTAAAACCCAGGCATTGGATTGGATGAGGTGGCTTACCCGCGGGCGGGTTCAGCGGTCGTAGCGGTCACAGCGCCTCTGGTGGTCCCCTGGTATATGCCCGGAGTGCAACGTCGCAGGGGCGTGTAATTGTTCAGGGGGTTGAATTTGATGAAATCCAGGAGAAGGTTGGAAGGAGTGGTGGGGTTTGAGAAACTGGACTTTCGTGCGAGCAATAAGGTACCGAGATGGTGCTCAGGAACGAGGCATGAATGAAATCAAAGACTTTTCTTCTTCGAAGGGGCCGAGCTTGATAAAGTCGCTCATGCTCACGATCGAGTGTGTTGATGGTGGCTGATGACCTCTGTTCCTCCGAATCTTGCAACTCGATACTCCGTGGTTGACACATAGCATCTTCGCGCCAGGTCACAAAATAACCATAGTTGTCATCCTCTGGTCTTACTGCGGTTTTATCTGAATCTGTGCATCTTCCGTCGAAGTTGGAAGATGTTTCCGTGATGGTGTGGTTTCGAGTTTGTGTCGTGTAACTCAGGTCTCAAAGGAAGGGACAGGTCCGTGTGTATAATCCAAATGTGGTTAGTGTGGCGACAGTGTGCACTATATTATTCAAGGTTTGTGCAACTGACCGAGACTGCACAAAACGGGCAAAAATTGCGCCGTTAGTTGTTGGACTAACGGCCGTATTCAATGAGAACTGTGGGCCTTCAGACTTCTGCCTTGAGGAAAAGAGTTCGGGTGAACAACATCGGGTGGTTTAGCGGTTGATAGCGGGCTGTCCGTCAAGATTTGAGCTTATACTATGCATGATTTTGTGCAAAAGGAGAAGCCAGGCCTTCCCAGTTTATCCACCTGCTACCAGAAGACGATCCCAAAATGGTGGCCGGTTCCCTGCTAAATCCCTGACAGTGTCTCCACTAAATGGCAAGTGCCCCTGCACCCCCTGGTCCTTTGTCTCGCCAGCTCGTGCAGTTACTGGCTGGTGCACTGAGGGTCCTCGTCTTGCTTGGCTTTTGGCTCTGGATCTCCCCTTCGCTGAGCGTCTGGTCCCTTTCCTTTTCCCGTGCCTTCTGACTCGCTTCGCTTCGCTACCTTTCCTCTCCTGCTCATCTCACTTCCATCTCGTCTTTCAACAAAACAAGCCACTACCTCCGGCCGCTCGCTCGTTCCAGTCCCTCTTTCATCTCCCCCCACACTTTCAAAGCGTTTGTTCTTCTCTCATCTGTGAAGCGTTTATCGTGGTCATCACCATCACGACCAGCGTCACCTTTTCATCGTCGAGTCTTTTTTTCCTTTGCTCGCGGCCATCCAATCTTGATCTTCCTTTGTTCGACCGCCTCACAGCAGTTCTTCCACGGCCACGTACGCGATTGATACCCAGGACTCCCTTCATCACCGTCAACTCTTGACAACTCGACGGCACTGCTGGACCAAGCCATCCACCCTCAGTGGCCTTGTTCACTTTGAATAAAGGGTCCATCGTGTTGCCGCCTCTGCCCACGACGACAAGGACGACTCAATTTGATCTATTGTTTGAAGGAGTGACCATACGATCTGACTCAACTCGACTCCAGTTGATCTGATTCGAGGTTTGCATCGACGATCGACATATCATACTCATATTCTCTTTCTACACTTTCGCTCAAAATTTCGATATACAAACGATCATCATGAAAACCTCAACACTCATGACAATGGTCCTTGCGGCTGCCACTAACTTCATGGTCCATGCCGCAACAGTGAGCAATGATCCTGTCGTGGAACCTGTCCTCAACCAGATGACCTCTCAAGGCTGCTGGAAGTCGAATGGCAACTTGACAGTCGGTTACGAAGGAGTGAAGACAACAAGTGGTTGGTGCTGGGATATTTGCAAGAAGAAGAGCGCCAAGGTTTTCAGTGTCCAAGCATCCAAGTGCTACTGTGGCGACGTTTATCCCAAGGAAGGTGATCAAGTTGACGACGACAAATGCAACTGGCCATGCCCTGGCTACGGCAAAGCGGCTTGTGGTGCTCTGAAGAATTACTGGTCAGTCTACAACTCAGGCGAAGACCTTGCGCCCGACAATTATGTGCCAGAAGAAACGACGACAAGTGCTGCCCCTTCTTCCACCAAGGCTGCGGAGACTACTGCCGCAGAGGAGTCTTCTCCTGCAACAGGAACTCAGGACGCCGCTACTACTTCAGAAGCCGCTTCAGATGATAAGAAAGATGGCCCCAACGTGGCCGCTATTGCCGCCGGCGTGGTTGTCGGCGTGGTAGTCATTGCTGCTATCGGGGGTGGTGCTATTTTCTTCGTTCGTCGCCGACGCAATGCTGAGATAGAGGAGGAGCACCGTCGGAACGCGGCTGTAAATGCTTTCATCAACGGCTCCAAGCCCCCTGGCAGCAGCGGTAGCATCTCTATGACTGATTCGCGCCTTGACCCAGTCATGGCTCACCGACGACTCAGTGACGGCAGCATCGCCGATAACCAAGATTACTCTCGAAGAATTCTACGGGTAAGTTAACGGGATGAAAATTGCTGTAAAACGTCTGTTTGCTAATACATATTTAGGTCACCAACGCATGAACGAGTGTCCGGTCTGGGATCTTCAAAGCCAATTACTTCTCAATCATTATTTCACAATCGGCATTTACGGCGTTTTCGGGATGATAGCTCATGTGTATTTGCCAATCGATCACTCCCGACGATCTGGCGGCGTTTGACTCTTTTCTGGGCGTAGGACTAGACATTTCTTCTACTATTTGCGTCTGCGGAATTACGACTGGATTTGATCAATCACGCTCCACGGCACACCGGCTTCACCTACGCCATCCACTCATTGCCTCCTTTTTCACAACTAAGCCTTTAACGAAACGACTGGAGAAGATGGGAATAATACCGCAAGTGCCCTTTTTAGATGCCATCTTTCCCTGGATCCGTTTCACTATGGATGTCGTCTTTGTGTAAGGGTATTTCAAGCGGCAATCATACCCGCGTGTAATCTGCACGTCTGTTTTCTTTTCTTCATGACTGGGAGTCCTATGTCTCCTGTGTACAAATTCTCCCTCTATTTGTTGAGTAGGGCAGAGTCAGATCTAAAAAAGTAAGGGGGCGAGAAGTCCTCTCGGGATATTGGTCAGGGTGCGATGGAGCGAGTTGTCACGTAGATACAATGGAACGCGTGAGATGTGCCAACCTCGTGGGGGAGATATCACGATTGGGAGGTTGGCGGATAGTGCGGGATATCCTATCGTCGCTTTATTTACTTTTTTACTTGACCGTTATCTTTTCCCTATCATTGACCGATGATCGTGGTGGTCATGGTGTCGCCTGTGTGTAGGGTTGTGCATAGTCATATACCACTACGTAGGACTTGAGATGCTGGTTCATTGACTGAGTCTTTCCCTTGATATCACTGTTGAGGTAAGCTATTGTTTTAGGTTTATACATATACCCTGGGCAAGCTGTTGGGCGCCATTTGTCTGCATTGTGTGATAGTGGTGAATGTGGTTTTGTATTGGTACTGGCTCTCGACGGGCCATGTAGCTAGGAAGATAGGTAATTTCCTCCCTGATTGCCTCACTTGTAGGACACTTCGTCTTCACGATGCATATACTCAAAGAGATACCCGTTCAGTTGGGTTCAGTCCCGATGCCCGATCTGAAATTTTGCAGGTATTCGGGTAAGGTGCTACAGACTCTTATAATACCCCAAAAGTCTTTATTTGTGTTCCAATTAATGTTGCAATGCCGTGTTGAGCATCCTAGGTTGTTATCTGTAATAACTAATTGATACGTTCCACTCATTGAGGCTCACATAAGTGAATGAGAGGTATGAGACGACAGCATGACCTCTATGAAACAGCCGGAAATTACTCTCGCTTTAAAACAAATGGCCTCTGCCACGGTAAAAAGGACAACCAAAAAAACCGACCGAAAGTGACAATATGAGGGTCAAACTTGAAGACCATCAAAGTCTACTTAGGGTAGGTAGCTAGGTCTCGGGCGAGTAAGCTTAGGGGATACCACGTGACCATGGAAGCTCGAGCTTGGCGCGATGCTTGTCGCGTTGGAAAAGTTCCCAGTCTGCAAACATCAACCAACGGCGAACAAACAAAACAATTCGCACACTGCATACACAACGAGAACCGACCCAAATTCCCGAATATCCACCCATAAACCTACAGACAAGAACAAATATCAGTCCTTACAGGGCTTACTGCCCGAGCTCAAACTCAACATGAGCTCCATCCCAGCTCCTCGAATTCGTCGCACGGCGCAAAACACACAATTCACGTAGGTGAACCTCGTTTTCGACCGATATTCGGCTCAAAGAACGCCTTCTCATTTTTATAGATATAACCTTTCGCGACGGGTAAACGATGTTCAAACCTATCCAGTTTACTCTCCACAAGGAGCGACCATCCTCATATACGGACACGAAAACGGTGTAACGATCGCATGGCGAGGAGGCAAGCGATTCAAGGCTGCGAAGAAGGCCCCGCCTAAACTCGAAAAGCAGAATGGAAACACAGACGACTCCATTATGATCATCGACTCGGACGACGACGAACCACCAGCCAAGTCCAAAACAGCATCTCATTACGAAGACAAACCACAGTTTGAAGATGAGCTTGAGGATACTCCCTTTCCAGAGATCGTCCAGACACTGGACCTGGCACTTGGAACAGCGGTCTTGAAAGTTGCGGTCATGCCCATGACCCCAACACCAGCACATGATGCTGCATGGGGAGGTGCTAAAGTCCTGACGGAAAAGATGGTATTCGCTGTGTCTTGCGTAACCAACGACATCTACGTCATTACACTTCCTCTTACTCCCCCATCACCAGAGAGCAAGGCAAGATCAGAGCTCAGGAGCGATCTGCTGGCAGGCGAGGCTGGATCCGGAGCCTGGGGAGAGTCGCTCATCCTGCTTGGTGGCCAGAACAGACACAGCGAGGGCATTGCCATCAACCTCATCATGCCCATTGTCACAGAGCGGCCTGGTACAAAACCCAGGGCCGTTGTTGCCTCGCACTGCAGAGAGGCTTCTGGTGTACTCCGGTTATGGGATGTACCGCTAGATGCTAGTGATAAACCTGCCAGTCCTGTCGAGTCTTTCCAGACCGAGTATTTGCCCAACCCTCTGACAAGCATATCATTCAACTCTACACATACGACACAGCTGCTTGCTGTCTCAGCCCTGCAGGGCGTTCGGGTCTACGACTTTGCGCGACCCTCTTTCACCGCCACAGATGCCACAGGGCCTTTCCCTCTCCAGGGCTCGTGGCTTCTCTCCATGTATCAGCCCTTTTCTCGCCCTTCATCGACAAGGAAACCAATTATCGACGCTGCTTGGATAGCACACGGTCGCGCCATATTAGTCCTTCTTGCCGATGGCGTGTGGGGTATCTGGGACGTTGATGGCGCCAGTCCTACTGCACCAGGCGCTGTTCTCTCAAATAAACTGCAGCCTGGAGTCAAGGGAGCCGCCTTGACGACCTTCAGCGTTTCTGGTTACGTGGAGGGGACAAGCTCACTTAGGAGTGTGACAACACAGAACAAGGAGCACAGCACTGGAGACTTCGCCCCTATGACACCGCACACTCGACGACAGGCTACTGCATCCCTGAGCTCTGCTATCACACTTGACCGCCTGGCTACTATCCGAGGTGGCATCAAAGTGTTGTCTCTGCCATCAAGTGGTAGTGCCATTCAAGATGAGACCGTGGTTCTGTGGATCGGTGGTCTCGAGCATGTATGCGTCATCCCTGGAGTCACACGCTTCTGGGATTCTCAACTCCGAAGGGCTGCTGGAACAGGTGGAGATATTTTCAGTGGAGCCCAACCGGTCAAGATGATCAAGCTCATGGATTTGGCAACTGGCCTGCTGGGTGAGAGATGTTGCGGAGTTGGTCTATTGATAGAGCCTGATCACAGTATTATTGCACAAGATGGTGGTCTCCCTGCCGATGTTATTGTTCTCGGCGAGTCCAGGATTGTTGTTGTTCGAGAAGGAGAGGGCGGACCCGGCAAGATTGTGGGTGCCGTGGCAAACTCAAGAAAACGACGCCTGTTTTCAAAGGGAGACAAGTCAGACGCTATCATCGTGCACGGCAGGGAAAACCGACCAGCCAAGTCTTTGTTCAACCTGAGCACTGTCAAGCCGGGTACCTTACGACTTCGATCTGCCTCTGGAAACTACGATGAAGACGCAGACACTACTCTGCAGCCACCGCGCCGAACCGTTGGCTTTGACTTTATGGACACACTCGAAGCAGCAGCAGACGATACGCAAGACTTTACGAGACGGAACGTGGAGTTTGAGATGTTGGATATCATGGAGATCGACAAGACACTGGACAACATGGATGGCCAAGGAAGGACATGAGGCTGTCTCATGGATGTATAGTTGAGATCGAGGGACTGACCTTTGCGAGTAGATGTCGAGAACGATACAATGTAGATGCCGGGGACGATTTGTACGATACCCCCACGACATACGAGGTGCCCCTTTGCTCATCTTTCATGACAAACGCTTGACAAGATGTGAACATGTGAAACCAGATCCTTTTCTACGTGACATGTTCCGCACGGCCAGGTGGAGCGCAAGGAGAGACCCATCCTTGACTGCTCTGTATTCCGAGCGGTATATTAAGATAAAGTACTTTTGTGCTTGGCCGACGATTCAGAGGAGGGCTGGAAGAGGTTCAGTGCCTTGAGCATTATTCTAGCTTTCAGGATGCATCCTGCTATCTGCTGCCTGATGGGTTCTTCGGAGTACCTGAGGCTTGCCTTGAGGACAGTGTAGAACTTCTGAGGACAGCGGGGAATGTGGTAACCTAAGCTGGATATTTGAACGTCGATACATTTGTCTCTGCCCCCGATGCATCATCTATTGTGACAAAGTGGTAGTCCCAAGCAGGGCTGGCTGTAGTTATGGACACCTAGAGAATATATTGAATTAACTAGGAACATTGGAAGAACAGAATACCAACAGCATCTGAAACACTGGCCTTTTCCACATCCAGCGTGATGATAGTCACATTAATTACAAAGTCTCTTTGTCCATCCATTACATAATGTTACAGTGAAGCTTCAAGCAGCTCTGAAGCATTATGTATTAGTCCAATCGCGTTGTGGGGTCAATTAAGATCCCTGTAGTTTCCCTCGCGACAGGCGCGTCATGACGTCCCACACGCGTAAAGTCCCTTCTTCTTTCACGTTTCGTTTGCGCCTCCATCTCTTTTTTTTTTTCTCATTGATCAAGTATTCTCGCTTTTCTACTTGTCACTTGGATTTGACTTCATTTCAAATCTTACTTCTACAACTTAACCCTAGAGTACCAGAGGACAAGTGCAAAAATGGGTATTAAACAACTCTTTTCGATCATCAAGGAGGAAGCTCCAGATTCGATCAAGGAGGGTGAGATCAAGAACCAGTTCGGCCGGAAGGTCGCTATTGTAAGCTCACTACGATATTCAATACGAAGAGTAATTACTTATGATATTAGGATGCTTCAATGAGTATCTACAGTTTCCTCATCGCCGTACGATCCGAAGGCCAACAGCTCATGAACGAGAGCGG